AAAATATTATTTTGTGAATATTATTGTCTAAAATGTAGCTAATTGAAAAGAGAAGTGAGTTTGTTTCAATAAAAATCATACTGATAATAACACAGTTGGTATTTAGACATTAAAAGATTGGTAATATACTCATTAGGGAAGGCCTAAGGGACTGTAACAAACAGATCCCCCCAATTCAGTGGCCTAAAGTACAAGAACTTCATTATTTTCTTAACCACAGAGGGAGGGGTTTCCAGTAAGGTTGTTTTGCTCCATGTGGTGTTTCAGGGCCCCAGGGCCCTTTTGTCTTGAGGTTATTCCTGTCCTTCTGGGCTCATCATCACCTTCATGGTCGAGGCTGGTTGGCCACCGTTGGGTTCTAGCACACAGAAAAGGGGAAAAGAAGGCCCACAGTAGTCTTAAAGTCTCTGGCTCAGTGTGGCTACACCACTTCAGCTCACATTCTGTTGAGTTTACTCACATGTTCACACCTACCTATCTCTCTCACATCCATGTTTCTCTCTATCTCTCCCTGCCCCCCTCCCTCTCTCCCTTTCACTCTCTCTAAAAATCAAGGGGGGAAAAATATCCTCAGATGAGGATTAACAAAAAGGATGGCCATGACAAAATCCCATAAACTTCTGTTCATCCCAGAAATTCCACTTGCACTGTGAGAATACAGGAGACTTAATTCTTTTTCAACGTACTTGCAGAATGTTTGGGGCTGTTCCATGTAAATGATAAAAAATGATGCTTTCCTGGGAATTTTCTCCAAATGAAAATTGTTATATCCAGCAAAACAATGTAGGAGGCAGTATTTTCAAAGCTTCATGAAATCACACAGCAGAGCTAGTCATGAGACCAAGCCGCCACCCATTATAGAGAGGGTGTTGTTCCTTATCGAACAGCAAATATTTAAAGAGAAAGGCATTGTGGGGTATCTGAATACACATTTCCTATGGCTCTGCTGCATAGGTTATTGGGTATTAAATTGTGGACAAAGGAAGTGGTGTCTAAAACACCCAGGCCGGCATGGCTCAGTGGTTGAGTGTTGACCTTTGAACCAGGAGGTCATGGTTCGATGCCTGGTCAGGACATGGGCCCAGGTTGTGGGCTCCATCTCCAGCAAGGGGTGTGCAGGAGGCCGCTGATCAATGATTCTCTCTCATCATTGATGTTTCTATCTCTCTCTCCCTCTCTGAAATCAATAAAAATATATTTTTAAAAACTCAGAAGCAAAGATCTAGTCCTTGAAAAAGAGGATGGGGATCAATGGTTTAACAAATGCCTCCAACTTTGACCCTGAGCACCCAGACCTCCTCTTGTTGACTGGAGCAGGACTGGCCCTGCAGGACTAGAGCTGGCAAGGCAGCTGAGTGGGGTCAGGGAGTGTGGCCAAGGCATTGCAGGTAGCGGGCCTTCATCACTCTTACTCTTGCGGATGGTTCTAGCCCCTGGTCATCTGCTTTCTTTCCCAGGTGCCCCATCCACTCAGGCCAGAACTTCCTGAGCAGCATCAGCATCACACAGTCTGTGTGCCCCATGGCAGGCCGTGCCCAGTCTGTTGGCCTCTCCTCCACACACTCTCCCCAAAGTCACAGCAAGCACTGAGCTTTTATTCATAGTAATAGTAGGCAACGAACAGGCAGTGAAAAGTCACTTTCCGTGCTCCCCTTCCCACCTTTCTCTTTTGTTTTTTCCACTTAGACTCAGTGACAGACCATTTTTGGTTGTGGTGAATTTTTATTAAATCAAGAAAAGTTGCATGCATAAGTAAAGTAGAGGCTTGTGCTTATGGGAGCGAGGTTCATCTCCATTTCAGAAGAACATTCCCAGGCCCAGCTATTGAGTTGTCCTTGGGAGTGGAGTGGGAGTACCTGAGTGAAAACAAGATAACTCCAGTGTCTGTTCCAATGCTCAGGGGTGTATGAGAGTGGAGGCCCCACCTTGGTGCTTCTGGCCGGTAAGTGGACTGGCGAGCCTCTGGAAAGACACGGTCCCTGGTTCCCTTGGTGAGCCTACAAGTGTTTTGAACTCCTGTGATAGGCCAGGCTGAGATGCGAGGGGTTGTTAACAGGCAAGCAACGGTGAGAGTCAAGTCAGAGCTACACATCCTGTGAACCATGGTGATGAGTGAAAAATGTACTTGGATCAAAATCCTTGGTGACATATGGACAGAAATACACCAGTCTCTCTTCTTTCAGCTTGCTAAACAAACAAATCACATAAACCTCTTTAAAAACTGTTTGTAGGTTAGCTGAGTTTTATGATCAGGACAGATTTTCAGAGCCATCCAGGATACGGTTATTTTAAAGTCTAGAACTGACTTGCTCTATGGCAACAGAGGTGGAACGGGATCCAGATCTCCTGGTGAGCAGGCCGCACAGCCACTGAGATGTCGTTTTGTTGGTTTTTCTAGCTGGGTTGGGGCAAATGGTGTGCAGACAGATGGCAGTGATTGAGGGAGGTCGCCCATCCCTCTGGGAGCCTTTGTGTTCAGGGAATGGATGACTGTACAGGAATCCTTTAACCTTTTAGTCTATAATTGAAGTGGTCCTTTAGGGCTTGAGAATTGATGCCATAGGCAAAACCTATTCAATTTAGTTCCTTCATATCAGTTCACCCTCCATTTATACAAACCTGTTGGCCTCAGTCTAGAGCAGCCGTGGGCAAACTACGGCCCGCGGGCCGGATCTGGCCCGTTTGAAATGAATAAAACTAAAACAAAAAAAGACCGTACCCTTTTATGTAATGATGTTTGCTTTGAATTTATATTAGTTCACACAAACATTCTATCCATGCTTTTGTTCCGGCCCTCTGGTCCAGTTTAAGAACCCATTGTGGCCCTCGAGTCAAAAAGTTTGCCCACCCCTGGTCTAGAGTTTTCCTTCTTAAATCAAGGTATGCAGTCGATCATAGAGCTCACCAGCCTTGCGTGCCTTCTCGCGACTGATTTCATAAACAGCTGGCAAACAATAATTACTTAGCTCATTATGTTTTTGCACATCTAACATATGCCAGGGAAGTTCTTAAATTTTTGGTGTCACTGACCACATTGGGAAATCTGATCAAAGTTACGGATCTTTTCCCCAGAAAAATGCCCATATGACATATACAAAAGTTTTGTTTCTGGTTGAGGAGTATTTATGGACATCTGACATCTACTCTGGACCCCTCTGTGGAGAGGAGCTGGTTAGGGACATGGAACAGTGTTTTGTTTTTAAAATATACAGTTTTATTGACTTCAGAGAGGAAGGGAGAGTGAGAGATAGAAACATCAATAATGAGAGAGAATCACTGATGGCTGCCTTCTGCACGCCCCTGTAACCTAGGCATGAGCCCTTGACTGGAATCAAACCCGAGACCCATCAGTCTGCAGGCCAAGGCGCTATCCACTGAGTCAAACCAACTAGGGCAGAACAGTGTTTTTGAGAACAATTGAGGATCCAGCTAAAGTTAGACACCATTGATTGGTAATGTCCCCAAGATTTCAGGTGACACAGTTTTCCCTAGGTACACTCTTGCCTGGGTGAATGGGTGCAAGAAAGAAGATGGTGAGATTGTTTAGAGACGGAGATTGCCATATTGGGGCAGTGAGGCACCATATGTATGAGTGTGTATGAATTGTAGCTGTTCCTGGGAATGTGTTGGGAATAAATGAGTACCCAGAACTCAAGAGTAACCAGGGAAGGTAGAGAAGGAACTTAAGAGGGCATAAAAGGGCTTAGATACCTGGGAGGGAGGCAGAGAGGGGTTGCTGGTGGCTGGAGAATATTTGGTTGGAACTGAGAAAGGGAGAGGTAAAAAGCTAGGGAGTGTGGTCACCAGATGGGATTTTAGAGCAGGACTGCAGGAGTGGAGCACTTCTGTGTGGTGACAGGGTTTAGGGTGTGACCTTGTCTAGGGTGTCAGATGTCATTTATGAACCTGAAAGCTGTCTAGGATGCCTGCAGAGGTGAGGGGAGAAGCCTGTAAGATGCAAGATAATCAGGTAATTTGGGCAAGGGACCTCTTTGATTTTAGAGAGAGAAAAGAAAGCTCTCTGAAGTTGTTTTGCCTGGAAACTTCATTAATATGAGAATTTTTTTTCCTTCACTTTGTTTGCTGTCTCCTACTCCCAAAAAGGCACATGCTTGGGAATGAGACCTACCTGTTTAGAGCCATTTATTCCTGGGGACCCTAGCTCAATGCCCCAGGCTTCCCAGTTTAGGTCCTGTGGCCCAGGTAATGTGCAAAAATTATTTTTGCCAAACTTTCCATTAATTGTGCTAGCTTCTGTCTGTAGAGTGGTTGTAACAACACCTAACTCGATGGGGGTATTCAGTGAGATAATATGGGGACTGTGCCTGGCCCAGCACCTGTTATATCACAACTGCTCAATAACTCAGGTTTCTTTCTACTCAATGCCTTTTGTGCACAACACCTCTGGTTCCTTGTGCTTCCGATGTGGCTTTTTCATTTGACTGGTTTGTATTCACTTTCTTGTACATTATACAAAGCAAAAACCATAACAATGATAATGAACCCAGGTTTAGGGTTCCAAGGGATGAAATAAAAGGATTGTTATGTTTTCATGTACTCTTTATGTTAAAAATCAATGTTTAAAATAATAATTAAGCAACAAAACTTTAGTGAGATTGAAACGATGTGGTGAAAACTACCAGATTCATCGCCTGATCTTTATTAGTTGGCAGCCTGGTTTCATTTTTAGGATCAAGGAATTAAATGGATCAAGGAGGGGCTTTGATTTCCAGCATTTAGAGCTCCTAGCTTTTGGGGAGAGAAAGAGACCACGGAAATCCAGGAGCCGAAATATGCTCCTTATAATAAAATGCGTACAGGGGTGTGGGTGGACAAAGAAACTGTGACTTGGTCCGTTAGAATTTTCATAGGTAGGGAACCCACCCAGCCCACTATTGCCCTGCCAGATTCCCAAAGTAACAGGATCCAAGTCTCCAGGCCAGATTTTCCCTCTAGCCATTCCTGGCCACGCAAAGCGGAGCTGCGAGCACACAGAAAGGGATGTCTTCATCGCCAACCGGGATGGCACAAACCCGCTCGCTCGGGGAGTGCTGAGAACCAAAGGGTCCCTCCACCGCCCGTAGCAGCCAACATGACTTGACTGCCCCCATCCCGCGCGGTGCCTAGTCTCCAGGCGCCCCCACCCTTTCCGGGTGCGCGCGCAGGAGCCGGCGAGCCAGGGAGCTGTGCGCCCGGCAGCCTGCGGGCGGCGGCCGACCGGCTCTAGCGGAGGGGGTATCCAGCGGCGGCGGCGGAGGAGCTGTTACTGCAGGGGGTCCCCTCGGCCGCGCCCCGATGCCACCTGCGCGTCCCCCCGGACTCTCCAGCGCGGGGCTGTATGGCCTGTCAGTGCCGCAGCGGAGGTATCACTGTGTCCGCCAATTAGGAGATTAGGCGTTTGGCTCCTAGGGACGCGGGACGAGCGGCGCTGCCCGTTCCGGCGTGCGGAGGTTGCGCCGCGCCAGTCCCTCCCGCCGCGCTCCCCGCCACGTTTTCGGAGGGGGGCAGAGAACTGCTGTGACTTTTGAGGTCCGACTCCTCCTTCCGGCCATCCTCCTGACGCGCCAGCCGGAGCGAGGCCAGTGTGACCGGCAGGCCCCGAAGGCTCCAGGCGTGGTGTTGGGACTTGGAACGTGTCCCGGAGCCCGCGGCTCTGAGCGCGCTGGTTAGTTTGGCGCGGGGTGGGGTGTCCCCAGGCGCAAGGGGCGGAAAGGACTTCGCGCTCTGCTCAGTTACCCACCCGCTAGTACTGCTCCCACTTTGAGAGTAATTGGGACTTGAGCGTGACTGCGGAGCCCCGAGGATGCGGGCGCCGGGCGCGGGCTTTCCTTTCCTCTGCCCGGCGTGATGAAGCGGGTTTGTGAGAGGAACAAAGGCACCCGCCCCGGGCAGCGGGTCCTGGGCTGAAGACCGCGGGTCGCGGGAGCAACGGCTGCCTGCGGACTCGGGTGGTGGCTGTGCCGCCCGAGGCGAGGCGCGCTCCTCCGGGGGCGGACCACACACCCTGAGCAGGGCACCTGCGCGCCGCTCCTGCCCCAGCGCCGGGGCAGCCCCGCCTGCCGGCCCGCTGGCTACGGAGGTCCACTGCTCCTGCAGCCCCACTCCCGGCGGCCCGAGGGCCAGCGACGGACCACTAGCTGGTGCGGAGGAGAGGCGCCCGACCTCCGGCCCTTCCCGGAGAAGCCCAGGCGCCTGGAAGGGGCCGCGCGCCGTGGAGTACGCAGGCAGATCTGGGAGCACTTCTACACACCCAGGGCTTCCATGGGAGCGATCTGGCCCTCCCCCTGAGCGCCCTGCTCTCTCTACCGTCTTGGCTGCCGGAGCATCCGCTCTGTGGGGCCGGGAGTGGCTGGGATTCCCACCGTCCGCCCGGGGTGTGGAGTGTGAGGCTCGCAAGGTCCCGGCTGCCCCGCGTCTCGCCGGAGCCGGAAAGGGCACGGGTCCGGGGCGAGGGCCGGCCGGGCGTGTTTGATGGCTTCACTGAGAAGAGTCAAAGTGCTGCTGGTGTTGAACTTGATAGCGGTGGCCGGCTTCGTGCTCTTTCTGGCCAAGTGCCGGCCCATCGCTGTGCGCAGCGGAGATGCGTTCCACGAGATTCGGCCGCGCGCCGAGGCGACCAACCTCAGCGCGCACGGCGCCAGCCCCATCCAGGACGCGGTCCTGAAGCGCCTCTCGCTGCTGGAGGATATCGTCTACCGGCAACTGAATGGTAAGGACGCGCGCCAGCGCCCACGGGGCCTCGGTAAACCCCCGGGGCCTTGCCCCCGGTGCGGGGGAGCCCACACCTCCTGGCTCCCGCGCACTCCCTCTCCTTACCCTTTCTGCCCTGTCTTGGCCAAAGGGCCAGGGCTGCTGGAAAGAATTACCCTTAAGTTTGCTTTTATTGTGGAAACATGTCCTTATAGCTGGTTCCCGCGTTCAGGGACGTGCAGGAATCATTACCTGGCGACTGAATCCCAAGTGCAGAAACCAGTCCCGTGACCAAGCGGGACTGGAGGCGCAGGCCGACTTAGAGGAAGAAAATAGTGTTACAGTTTAGCGTTCGGTGGAGTCTGTCAGGGAAGGACTTTGGTGGGCTTAAATGTTTACCAAGTCAAGGCCTCAGGTCTGGAGCTAATGCGCTTGGGTAGTAAGTTGGAGGAGGCGGACTGCACAGCTAATAATGAGACTCCTCCTCCATTTCGCAGCCCAGGGGGAGGCTGCTATTAAAAACACACCTGGCTTCTCCCAGAGAAATGCCTGAGGGCGATGTTGAAGTTCTTCGTGGGTTGAGGAAACAGGTTTTTATAGTGTAAAGCGAGGTGTGCCATCCAATTACAGCAGGTCCTCCAATAACTTGGATTCGTTCAACCTCATTTCCTAAAACGTTGATGAGATGCTGAAGAAACTTAGCTCTTGCTCATATCAATTAGCTTGTGGTAAAATTGGTTTCGTTATGCCAGTCTTCTTAAAGTCATAGGATCTATCCAATGCTTGAAGTGATGACTTACTGTATCTGTCCCATCTAAAATGTTCTCTTCAGTGCTTTAGGAGAAGAGAGAGATTCAGTGTGCTCTGGTCACATCTGGTCCAGGGACTGATAAGTCATTGTATACTTGTTATTCCCCAGGTCAGATTGAGAATTCTCTATTCAAGTACAGGCAGCTCTCCAGGGCTTGCATAGCTGCTATCTAAGGCAGATCTAAGGCTGCCACCTCCCTTTCTGAGTTTCTAACACATGTTCTCATGGTAGTTCCAGAATTAGAGATAATCATAAAGATAATGATTACAATAATTGGTGGAATTCTTGCTGTGCAGAGATGTCATAAGTGCATTGGATTCCATCCCCATATCAGACACGAGAAAAGAAGGCTTGGAGAGTTTAACTAAGTTGCCTGGTGTCCTGTAGCTAGTCAGGGGTAGGTTCTGGAATCAGAACCCCTTGTCTGGTTGACCACAGAGCCTATGTTCTTGACAACTTCTATCTACCGTCTCTTCCTAATTATAAGGAGTTTTAAGTTTGATGACAAGAAGATTCTACGTTAGGAAGAACTGACTCCATTGTCTTCCCTGCAATTAGAGTGAGAGACCAGGCTGGTGGCAGGGAGAAGAATGACACCAGACTGTTCTCTTCCTGCTTTCCAAAGATCCTTTCTGGGTCCTTCCAGGTGGGATGTGAGCAGATCTCTGAAAGAATGGTCTTCGCCGTATCATTCAGCAAGTACCCAGGGTCCTTGAACTTGTCTGTGCAGTGGGAAGCTGCAATCCTCCCAACCCCTCACAGACATTGTGGCCTGGCTGTCCATGTAGCCTGCTGTGCGGTCATGAGGGAGCTCGTCTCCTGAGTGTCAAAAAATCAAGGCACAGAAACAAAACCCACAGTTCATTTCTGGAGGAATGAGAAGCTTATGGGGCGGGCCCTATTATTCTACACAGATACCTGCCATAGTGTACCCATAGGACCCCAACGAGAGAGTGCAACATAGCCCGAGCTCCCTCACTGTCCAGCTGCACTCAGGGACACTAGTCGTTTCAGTATTGGTTTTAATTAGGAAACTAAATGTGATATAGTCATGCATCCCTAAATATCCCAAATAGGAAGAATAAAATTTCAAATGGTATTGACTAAGTGCTACAGACTCACAGGGCTCATTTAGTCTTTACAGCAACCCCAGGAGATAGGAGCTCTCACCCCACTCCGATAGCTTGCTTCCAGTCAGTCACCCAGTCAGGGGCTTGTAGAGCTGGGACTTGAACTCAGATACTCTGGTTCCGGAATTGAGGTTCTTAGCTGTTGCACCAGTGAGTCTCAATCTTTGGTGTGCCTCAAAGAGCACACAGAGGGCCCGTTAAGACACATTTCTGGGCCCCACCATCAGACTGATTCAGTAGATCTGGGGTGAGGGACTGAGACTTGGCATCTCTGACAAGCTTGTGGCCTGGCCCCTGGTCCTCTGCCCTCTACTCTACTTCCCACACCAAGCAAAGCAGAGAGGAAAAACCATTTGCGTGCCAACACCCAGTGGGGGTGGGGACTTCTGAGAAGACAAGAGCTTGCTTCAGATGGGCTGAGGGTCTGGCTTCTGCCATGCAAGCAACTCCATGGGGGAGAGTGGGGGTGTCCTGGGCTCGGGACTGGTTGGGTCAGGTGCCAGGGGTGGGAAGGCTGAGTTTTCTTGACTTGCAGTCTCCGAGGAAGAGCTGGCAGGAGAACAGGGTTGAGATCTTGTCCTGGGCAAGCCAAGAATTCAAGCTGCAACTAGGTAGATGTTATCCTCCTGGCTGCAGAGTGTAATTCGCAGTGACATGAAGCCTGGAGGAGGAGAGCAGGGAAAAGTTGTGATATGGAAGGAACCCACCCCTCCCCACCCCACCCCTCAGCACTCCCTCCTCTGCCTGTGCTTGTTTTGGGTACTGGTGTCCCCCCTGCTGATGTGCTAGGCCTGCAGGGGCCACCTGCTGCAGTGGGAGGGAGGAGAGGTTTCCCGGTGCCTGGGTGATAGGGCCTGTATTGCTGTGTCCATTTGCTTTGTAGCCTTTTCCACCCCTTCCTACTGAAGGAGGCGAGGGAAACCTTGACTTTGGCATTCTTTATTCCTCAGGGTTATGGGGGGCCTGGGAGAGCCGGGCACTGGGCATACAGTAGGAACAAGGCCACTTGGATCCAGCCCCTTGGGTACAAAGTGAGCTGGTATTTTAAAGGTTGCCATATTTCTCAAACCTTTTCTGTGGACTCTTAGGAGGTCCCAGCAGCAGGGACTCCTGGAGGGCTCCAGCCATCCCTGGTGCTCTCTCACTCATAAGACAGGTTTCCTTGGGGTTCTGACAGGGCCCCCCCTGGGCTGGGGCACCTAGATGACCCAGACATCCTCAGGATTTATCTCTCTGCCAAGACTCTTGGTACCAAGGTTTCGAATCCTGCCTTTTGAAAAACAGTTACAGGTTGTAGTTGTTAATGTTTATGTTTTCCTTAATCCAGGCTGAAGAGGCCATTTTAAAGTGACAGTGGAGATGCTGGTGTGGAGGAAAGAGCACACAGAGATGAATTAGCGTTTTCCCTCCAGATTCTTTCTTGTATCTGCTCCCCATTCTTTCCGTGAGGCCCCATTGTTGACCCTGGCCTTTACAGCAGTACCCACTAACCCAGTGCCCTGCCTCTGGTCTCTCACCCCTCTCTTCCACTGAGCATGCGTAGTTCCAGCTATCCGAGTGGAAAGCACCGCCTGTGAAGGTCCCACACCTTCCAGGGGCTCTCTGTTTCCTGAGGGGTCATGGTCAGGTGAGGAGGCTGACAGCCAGGGCCTGCCACAGCCTGCTCCAGTCCTCATCTCCCACGTTCCCATCCCTGCTCAGGGTCCTCTGCCTCCTTGAGCCAGGCTGATCCACTTGCTGCAATGCCTCTCAATTGCCTTCAGGTTGTAGCCTCCACATTTCAGTCCCAGTCTTTGAGAAGTGCTCGGTATCATGGTTTGCTCTCTCTGCCCCTTTCTACATTCCTTCTTTAAAGCTTGGCTCAAGGTCATGAGCTCAGGGATGGGGAACTTGTGCCAGGCCACATGGTCTGAGCTCTTCCTGCTCTGAGTTGCCTGAGGCTTTGTTGTCAGTGACCTTTGTACCATATTTTGGACTTTTTAATACCACCTCTATCCTGCCACTGTCAGGCCTGACCCACATAAACTCATGTGGGATCCTCATTGCTTTCTCTCTTTACCTGTATGTGGTGGCCTTAGAGTCCACCTCTTGGGGGCATACATAATGATCCTTAGTCCCTGAATGACTGCATGGAGCAGAGCACTGGCTTCTGTAGCTCCGTCTTGATGTCTCTGTGCATTGGACCATCATGCTAAGCCATTGAGATTTTGGAGCTTATCTGTTACGGCAGCTAGTGGTAATTACCCTAATTTGATTGGGCAGGGTTAGAACACTTGTTTCCCTAAGTGACAGGCCACACTATCTACTGTAGGTTTCTGTCCTCAGCATCTGCCATAGCATCTTGACCTTAATGTGGGCACCTAAGGTCTATTGGTTGATTGATTGGATGTGAGCTAGTTTTAGGAGGTAATTGATAGCCACAGAGGAAATAACCTCAACACTGTAAAGGCTGAGTTGGGTTGGGTGGATGTAGTGAGGGGAAGGGGCTGGGAAGACTTAGCTGGGGAGACTGAGTGTGAGGAGTCATCTTGCCTGTACCATCTTGCCTGCCTGTACCATCTTGTCTGCCTGTACCTTCTTTCCTGCCTGTACCATCTTGTCTGCCTGTACCTTCTTTCCTGCCTGTACCATCTTGCCTTCCTGTACCATCTTGCCTGCCTGTACCTTCTTGCCTGCCTGTACCTTCTTTCCTGCCTGTACCATCTTGAGGCTGCTCTGGTCCTTAACCCTCTTGTCTGAAGGGCACCCAGTCCTTCTGAGGAGCTTGGAAGTGAAGCAGTCAGCCAGGTTAGGGAGCAGCATGTTTTAGTATGTTTTCTTTGAATATGTAATTTTATAACATGAATATTGTCTTATGTTTCTTTTTATGTAAAGTAAAATTAATTCATATTGTAGAAAATTTGGAAAAGCAGAATAAGTTCATACAGAATGTGTTAAAATATTTTTTAAAATGGCAACATGGTGGTTTTGTAGCAGCATTAGGAAAATGGACCCAGGGACAGGCAGGTTTCTTGTTAGATTCCTATGTAACTCTGTCCGTGACTTTTGGCTTTCTATCATCCTCTGAGGAAGTTACTT